GCACACGATACCACCAGAGACAGACAATACTGGGTTCTCGGCCGACGCCCAGGTGAGTGCAACAGGGAAACCTTCTCATTGAGCAAGGCAAGAAAATCAGCCAGAACGACCGGCCACCCGCCGTACAATCACTAGATAAGACTAACAAACTGAAAATGAGCCTACCATGGGTCTGGCCATGGTGGAAGTATCACATGTGTCGCGAAACTGAATTCCGCTAGATTGAGATACGCGATTGGAGGCGCAGAGAGCAACAACGATGCAGCGTCTGTATCGTTGTCTGGTTCCGCACACCAAAACAATTACTTCAGAATTCCGGGATATGTCTCTGCCTTGGTGTTGTTAAAGCCACGACCGAGCCTAACGTCTGGTCAAATCGTCGGAACTATTCTTGAGAACACGGCACTATACATTTGCGACTATCATGATACGACTAAAAGCCCAATTTGCCGATAGCAGGACCACGGCACATCACTCCTTGACTCCACATACATAGACAGTATAGTGATTATCAGAACCACACAGGATACGATAGCCTTGCAGTCGCAGATACTGACTTTCCGATGGAAACAGCGTAGGAACGCTATTGTGTCCCTTAATATCATGTTCTGTCTGGGCCTCATATGTGGTGATATCGCCTCCCTCTTCATGAGTGCGCTAAGACTACACTATGGGCTTCGGTAAAGAAGTAGCAGACACAATATGCATGTTGATGAAGCTATTAGCACAGTGGAAGAGTGTGCATACTGTTAATTCATGTTGATGCTTGTGCTTCACGAGTATATAAAGGTGCGCATAGAACCAGCGCCCTACCCGACCCTGTTAATATCTATATATATTTGCTTTCGTCATGAAGCATAATCCCTAGCAAGATCTATTCTAACCACACATCCTTTAGAAATATCACCCCTCAAATGAAAAACACAACAAAATTCACAGCTACTTATAACCCCAGCGCAATATCAAACAGCCGGTGCGGAGAAAGAACAGGGGTAGGGTGGGATTGGCCAACTAGACTTGAACGCAACGGCTTGCATCGGATATTCCCGATCGGGAAAAGCCGCGCCGCGCAAGGGATCCGAGGCACTTCACCACGGACAACATTCCGAGTCGAATCAATACTGGTACATTCCAACTTGGAACATACATTGCTCTCTCACAGTGATAAGGAGAGAGAGAAAAGAACTCCTAATGCGACCTATACCAAGAGCAATTCCATTCCCCAGGTTCCGCCCGGGTGGAAGAGCAACTATCCCCGCCCGGACGCTGTTCGCTCGATACAATCATGTAGAGGCCACGCGGCAAGCTCGCGCCGATTCCAACGGTCGCAGCTCCGTGCAATGGGGCCTCACGGGTCTCGTCACTGGGATTGGAGGGTGTCTCCTGGTTTCGCAATGGCAATCCTCAGATTCACCCCCGGTAGAGTCACCAGAGGTCGATGGTGCAAAGGGGTTTCAATATGCGGATAAAGAGACTATGATAAAGGTACCGATACTCGGAGGCCGTTATCTGTTTCCGTGTTGTATGCTGATATGAGCTATGGTAGGGAATCAAGATAATTGAGGAGACTCTAGGAGAGGATTCGGTCTCTTGGGATGAGGAAGAAATTGCGATTCACGGATATTCTGAATTGTCCACTTCGAATTGTGAGTCCAGGCCGGTGGCTGTTGCTAGGCCGAAGAGTACGGAGGATGTGGCCTTTATTGCCAAGATTTGTACTGCTTTTAAGATTCCAATGAGTGAGTTATCTTCCGAGGCTCTTGAATTGGTCAGGATATTGTACTCACGACCCACGCAGTTCCATTTGCTGGTGGCTCAAGCGTCGAAGGGCATTTTGTGGCGCCGTACTCAGGATTAACCATTGACTTCTCGGATATGAAGAAGATCATCTCGTTCCATCCGGATGAGTAGGCTGTTTCAAAGGAAACACATACGAAACGAAGCTAATTGTTCGTTTAGTATGGACGTTGTAGTCCAACCGGGGGTGAATTGGGTTGATCTCAATACTCTCCTCAAGAATAGTGGTCTTTTCTTACCACTGGACCCCAGTCCCACGGTACCATTCCCCACTCGGGCGTTTATAGAGAGATCTAATGAATTTGCAGGCATTGATCGGCGGCATGGTCGCAACCAACTGCAGGTAAGTTTACTCTTGGTCACATCATCTGCAGCTATTCTGGGGCCCGTTCTAAAAGTCGATATATAGCGGAACAAATGCCGTGAGATACGGTACAATGAAAGATTGGGTCGTCAATGTCACAGTTGTCTTGGCGGATGGAAGCGTAATCAAAACAAGACATCGGCCACGGTATGTATTGTTCGTGACAATTATAGTGCACAAGTAGCTGACGGCAAGAAGAAAAACATCTGCTGGATACAACCTGACATCCCTGTTCACAGGGAGCGAAGGGACACTCGGCATGATTACAGAAATCACGCTGAAGCTGGCCACCATACCAGAGAAGCAAAATGTGGCCGTTGCCACATTTCCTTCAATCCGTGAGGCAGCGGCTACCGCATCCAAAATCATGCGTACTGGAATCCAAATTGCTGCTCTGGAGATGATGGACGAGACTCAGATGATGGTCATCAATAAGAATGGAGGAGCAGGGGGTAGACTCTGGGAGGAGAAACCCACATTGCTATTCAAGTATGTTCCCCCAAGCTACAATGTCGGATACGGCTAAGCGGCAGGCAGATTCTCGGGAACACCGAGAGCTATAGAAGAGGATGTGGAGCGAGTTCGGACAATCAGCTCGCAACACGGAGGAGCGAATTTCGAGTTCGCAAAGAGTGAGGAGGAAATGAACAGTCTTTGGGCGGCGAGAAAAGAATCTTTGTGGGCAATGCTTGCGGTGCGACCTGAGGGCACTCAGATCTGGTCTACGGATGTTGCTGTGCCGTTATCGAGAATGGCAGAGATTATTGGTACAGTATACTAATGTCTCCTTTCTAAGTTTATTGGCTAACGTCTCCAGACCTCTCTAAGAAGGAATCAGGCCAGCTAGGGTTGTTCTCGAGCGTCCTAGGCCACGTCGGGGATGGGAACTTCCACCAAGCTGTGATGTATAATCCGGACGATCCAGAACAGAAGCAATCTGTTCGAGACTGTGTGCTGGCAATGGTGCATAGGGCTGTGGAGATGGAGGGAACCGTTTCGGTCAGTAAATATTATCCATCATCCAATGACCGGTTTTATATACAGGAGGTTGGCTAATGGCTTTCAAGGGCGAGCACGGTATTGGCCTCGGGAAAAAGGAGTGCCTCTTAGAGGAGCTGGGACCTGAAACTGTCGGGGTTATGCGCACATTGAAGCGCAGTTTGGACCCTCAGTAAGTCATGATCGGGTTATTGCTCGTACAGTGCTAATGATCATTCCAGTTTCTTGCTCAACCCAGGGAAAATCTTCGATTAGTCAAACAGTGAAGTTCTATTCTCAGCTCAAGATTCAACACAGCGAAGAAACCATAGGGATGATGCGAGTTATTGTAGCTAAATTCAAGGTCTGAATGTCCTGTTACTCAATCTAGCAACCTCTGTCAAAGGGGATACTGTTCATAGAATAGACGGCATGTCAGTTCCGCTTGGTCATATAATCGTACCCCTGATCAACCATTGCCTTCGCGTTCCTGGTCTGCGTATCGAGATCCTCTTGAGGAACACCAAGAGGTTCATTAGCCAAACCATGCTTGCTCTCATAATCCGCGTCTCCATTTGGAAACAAGACACGGGAGTACATGGCCTGAACAAAGGCACCGTGATCTCCATTCCTTACTCGCTCGAGTGCCTGTTCATATCGTTCACGGCTGGATTCAAACACAACCGTCCAATCTTCATCCTTCTCACCGGTGACCCGCTTCCAACTCTCAAATATCTCCTTCTGAGTCACCCTGAAGCTGGAGATATAGACGGGTTTATTCAACCAACGACTTAGCGTCACACTCTGATCATTCTCATCCTCAGGCAACACCTTCAAACTCAACAGCTTCGCAACAGCTCTCCCACACTGCGCAGGAGTACTAACGTTCATCGGAGTCTCCCCGTCATCAAAGAACACTACTTTCTTCTCCGCAAAATTAAACCCGAAAGTAGCGGGTCCAAGGCTCACACTATGCTCATACCAGAACCCACAAATAAGCGCTATCCACGACGAAACACCCGTCTTCTCGATTTCGTCGAAAGACTTGGGGACCCGCTCCCAGCCTAGACCGCTGTTCACTAGAGAGTCATTTGCGGCGTCGCAGCCCCAGACATTCGGCATCACGTATTTAACCCCAGCCTTAGCGGCGGCTTGTACAATCTTGGAGTGTGTGTCTGGTGCTGCGGTGACGGATAATGTGATTACCAAGGCGTCCTGGCCCTTGAGGGCATTCACGAGACTTGTCTCATCGTGGTAGTCGACAAGCACGGTCTGGATGCCTTCGGGTAAAGCGTTTTGGCCCCCGACGCGAGTCAGCGCGGTTACCGTGTGCTTGCCTGTTTTGAGGAGTTCTTGGGCGATAGGCTTGCCCACGGTGCCTCCGGCCTAGGTAGCTTTGGTTAGTTGACAGAGTTGGGAGCGACTTCTTATGCGTGACTTACACCGATAATTGCGACGCGCTGGATCTCATTTCTGAAATCTGGGCCCTGACCTTTGATGTAGTTGGTGGTCATGGTGTTGCAAGTATGAAATCAGTAAGGGTTTATGGTTTCGGGCTGTGATAATATGTATATCATCAAGAACATCCATCCTCCTTTTATAACCCCTCATGGATTTCAGGAAGGTCTATCTTGGCTCTGTCCATTACCTCCGGTCTTGCTTATGTCCGATTTTAGATTGCAATACGGTCCGAACCGGCTACAATGTACTTCGTATAGCCATGCTTATGAATCTGGTGAGACGGAGATAAGGCCCCAAAAACCGACCGAAGTTAAAATCTGATGTAAGAAACTCAGCCCCAAGACAAGGCTGCCTTGCGGATAATCATTTCCTTTTCTTCTTTCGTATGCTTTGCCTGCCGTCTACTTCGTGCAGTGGGCATCTGGTATAAAAGCGTGAAGACTGAAAATCTCCGCTCTTGGCGGGAGCCGAGTAGGGAGAATATCCTTCCTCAAGGCCCTGTCCTTAGACTATTGAAGAGACACGAGAGCAGGGCGAGCCGACCATTTTCTTTGGTGACTGAAGCTAGAACTGCATACCCGTTCCTATTGGCACGGACGTGTGATACATGTTAGTATACCAGACTGCGTTCCACACGTCATGATAGAAACTGGGCGGTCCCAAGACGTAGGAAATCCGAGATCCATGATCATGCCATAGCCTCTCCTCACTGTTACAAGTCAAATCTCCGTTCGGCTGGCTTCTCAAACTTGAGCCACTTCTCCGGCACCTCATGCATCTGTCCTGCTTCCAATATATCCTCAAACCACCGACTAAACCCTCGAAACTCCCCCTTCGTCGCGCCCGATCCCGGGCCCAAATCGAAAAACGTTCTATCTATAGTTTCGTATCCAGATGGCACCGTTTCAGCTGTACACTGATCGTTTAGAATACAAACGCTGAGAGCAATCATCTCGTTCATGCTTGGCACAGTCGGTGGGAGACTCGCCTTCCACCCGGGGGATTTGATTGCCTACTTCGCTTTGTAAGATGACGGCATCAGGAGAGACACACCCGTGGCGATGAGGTGATCGCGCTCCTGGCGCGCCGATACTGCGTAGTCATGGGGAATCTCGTAGACCATGGGCTCGTCGTCTGAATCGTGGGGAACCCCGTCGTCTTGAGCTGATTCGGAGTGTGTCTCATCCGAGCGTTGGTCGAGGTCTTCCTGTGCGGACATCGTAGGTGCGGCGGCAATCTCGTTCATTCTCTAGTGGTATTGGTCTTCGTGGTAGCTTTCCTGTGTCGAGGAAACTAAATACTAGCGAAGAACGAGATGTGGCAGCATAGAGGACGTCTGTGGCTTAAATGCGCTGGATACTGACTTAGGGAGCTGAACTAACCCCGAAGGACGGTGGTAAATGTCATAATTCGATAATCATCGCGTCGAATATATCTCAGTCATTATAGACAAGGGTTCTCTCTGATGAATTAGTATATCAGTCGAGACCGGAATATTTGTGAGCTGTAAGAACACAGAGAGAGATATATTTAGGTCGAATAGCTAAGCTACACTTGTATGTCTGAACAAATTCATTTCGCAGCCTGTGGAGAGTCTAAATTTTGCAAATATATAGTTCCTTGACGTTATTTTAGACCGCGGGCCCAGTTAGATAGTCTCTTACTACATCGAGACTCGATTGATTGGACCAGTGGATACTGGTTCCAAGGGACACGTCGCAGACCCACCGTCCTAAGGCCATATAGATACACTAAGGTTCTCCTTACCAACGCAGCCAACCTAGCTACTGCTGTGTCAGGAAATAGAGCAATATTCAACCCGGTATATGATTGCTGTACCTCAATTACCCTAACATTATCTAATCCAGAGAAGGCCGAACCTAGAAGTCGGGAAACCTTAAAAGCCCCCAGATTTTCGTCCGAAGATAGATCTGACCAGCGATGCCCAACGGTGTTTTTAGACGCGAATTCGGCCGTGAGAAAAGCACCATGCCATTGGCGCAGAGTTTTGGCGTCTTGCCAAGGGCATGCCTGCATATTCTGCGGGGCAGACGCCGTGACTTGTCAACAAAAGTATCCTCTGCCAACATATTTTTTTCCGCTTCATGACAAATATTAAACTGCGAGTGACAGGTATAAAAAGGCGCTGGCGTTTCAGTTTCCTAAATCTCCGTCCATAGCCCAACCTAAGTCGACTATCCGTACCTCTATCAGCATGTCCAGTGCGCTACCAGCCAGAGAAGACCATGTGGACGTTCTTATCGTTGGCGCCGGGCCCGCAGGCCTCATGCTGGCAAACTGGCTGAGCCGATTCGACATCAAGACGAGAATTGTGGACAAACGAGGCACCAAGGTGGGTGTTTGCCATACATTGGACACAAGGCTGTATTAATGGAGCTGCAGATCTTCAATGGCCAGGCGGATGGCCTCCAATGCCGCACCCTAGAGATTTTCGACTCCTTTGATTTTGCCCACCGTGCCTGGAGAGAGTCAAACCACCTGCTCGAGATGTGTTTCTGGAACCCCGACAAGGATGGCGTTCTGCGACGTTCGGACCGAATTCCGGATACTATCCCCGGTATCAGTCGCTTTCAGCAGGTGGTGCTGCATCAGGGTCGCATTGAGCGGTTCTTTCTCGACTCGATCAAAGAGCATAGCGACATTGCGGTCGAGCGTGGCGTGTTGCCGACTACATTCGAGTTCGACGAGTCAAAAGCCGCGGATTTCGAGGATTACCCGATCAAGGTCACATTGCGCACATTGTCGGAGGAAGAGGCTGCTCCTGCTCAACGACAACAGCACTACAGAAGACCCGACGGCACGCAGTCAGTGATCAGTGACGGGCTTTTCCGAAGTAACTTGGCTGCTGACGACACGGATGATCTCATTCGTGCAGCGAAGGCCAATAACAATGCCCGCTCCGGCGAGACAGTGAAAGCGAAATTCATGGTGGGTTGCGACGGTGCGCATTCCTGGGTGCGGCGACAGCTTGGCTTCAAGTTAGAGGGTGACTCCACGGACTATATCTGGGGCGTACTCGACATTATACCCATCACGGATTTCCCAGATATCCGCCATCGGTGTGCCATTCACTCGGCCAATGCTGGTACCGTTATGGTCATCCCACGGGAAAACAGGCTTGTTCGACTGTACATCCAGTTGCAGACGACTGGGCATGCGCAGACAACAAACAAGGTGGACCGTTCGTGGATTACTCCCGAGATTATTCTGCAGTCTGCGCAGCGCATCATGCATCCGTATAAGATAGACTACACGTACTGTGACTGGTGGACTGCGTACCAGATTGGGCAGCGGGTGGGGGACCGTTTTTCTCTACGAGAGCGAGTCTTTCTGGCTGGTGATGCGGTGCACACGCATTCGCCCAAGGCAGGGCAGGGTATGAATGTAAGCATGCAGGACAGTACGTATACACGATATGCTTTCTTGGAGCATCGCCACTTACCGCTTGCACAGCATATAATCTAGGATGGAAGATCGCGCATGTAGTCAAAGGATACAGTGAGGGGTCGATTCTGAAAACATATCAATCAGAGAGAAGACGGGTTGCGCAAGATCTCATTGACTTTGACCACCGGCTGTCAAGATTATTTTCAAGTCGTCCAGCAAAGGACGCCGCGGACGAGGGTGTCAACATGGAAGAGTTCAAAAACGCAATGGAGAAGGGAAATGAATTTGCCAGCGGAACTGGTAGGTTTTATGATTCCCGGTCTCGATTCGCAGGCTAATATGAGCAGTGATCAATTATGGTACTAGCGTCATCGTTGCGAAAGAAGGCGACTCTGTTGAACAGGGAGATGGTACTGAAGTTGCTGGCAGCCTCCAACGAAGAGTGATCAGCAAGACGCATCTGGCTACAAAGATCGACATCGGCAAGCGGATGCCAAGTTTCAAGGTGCTGAACCAATCTGACGCTCGTCCATGGCATCTGCAGGAGCTCTTAAAAAGCAACGGACGATGGCGGATTATCGTGTTCCCTGGCCAACTTAGCATGTCCCAAAATATGCAGCGCATGCAAAAGCTTGGTGTCAAGCTAGGCAGTCGGAACTCATTCATTCGCCAGTACACTCCGCCTGGGCAGCCGGTTGACGGCGTTATTGAAGTTCTCACAGTCCATTCTGGGCCGCGGACAGGCCTGGAACTGTTCGATTTGCCGGAGGCCTTCCATCCATTCGATGAGCAGACGGGCTGGGACTATTGGAAGGTCTTCGTTGATGATCAATCTTACCATGAGGGACATGGACAAGCCTATCTTAATTATGGTATTGACCCTAGCCATGGCGCCGCTGTTATTGTCCGACCGGATCAATATGTGAGCTGGGTTGGTGATGTGGATGATTATGACGACATGGCGAGGTTTTTCTCCGGATTTATGAGGGTTCAAGCGGCCTCAAACCCTAGGTCCGAGAGTTGTTCAACAGCATTCTCTGCAGTCTGCAAACTGTGAAATCATCATCAGTGGCTAATCGCTGGCTAATAGACGAGCGAACCTACTGACACTCAAGCAGTGAGAACTACGCAGACTAGATTTAGTAGGCTCGTCATTTGCATGTAGAACCGTGTAATACATTGACTTTCAATTTTTTGCTGGTGACGGAGAGTTGTTTTGGTTTGAAGTGTATAGAGGATGAATGGGAACTGTATCAGAAGAGGGGTCCTGGATTTGGTTTAATACACCCCTAGAACTACGTCAGATAGGCAGGGGGATTGGCAGCTCTCAATCCAAACATGCCCCAGAATTTCTAATGTTGATATAACCAGAACTTTAAAATAGAATACCACTGAGAGATACCAAGGTTGTCATGCGGATTAGTCGGTGGCTTAATCAAAAAACAGTATATAACCAAATCGCATTGAACCTATCACTAGAGCCTGGTTATTTCACGTTTCATCAATTATGGATAAACAACAAAATCGATCGATTATCAAAAGAACTTAAACAGCAATTTCAAACCATAGTAAAGGAATAATAGAACTACACCAACCACCTCCAGTATTTTGCAATTGTCCTCCCAGAAACCAGTATATTGGGTTCTTCCTCCCTATTTTTCTGAGGTCTGGAGAGCCGCATGACTCTAGTTGCAACTGTTTGGACGAGGTCCCTCTACATAATGTTAGTATCATTGTTAGTATAGGTGTTATGAGGAGTCACCGTACGGCAACGACGAGGCCTGTCCTCTTCTCTGACCCATCCTTTGGGAGTCTTGTACCAGTTTCTGCAGGCGTGTAAGTACGAATCAATCTTTCATGATTTTCAAGCACACCTGTATCTGCACTGGAAATTGACACTGTCGCCTCTCCTGGCGGTGCCTATTCTATCACTTGACTGGCAGGGATACTTGAAGTAGTCAAATCTGCGTTCGACTCTGCAAGTATCCCGGTCTTCAAGAACAGAGTCCTCAATGTCTTCAGGCTCCGCAGATGGAGCAGCATTGACAAGAGATAGAGTAAGGGGGAGAAGGGCAGTGAGAAGATAGATTGGGGACTTCATGTTGAATGTCAAGAATGCTCGATTTCCTGTATGTGAACTAGTTGTGGTTGATGTTGTTTCACAGTTGAGATATGGTGTGTGTATCACTGCCTTTATATGTGTCTATGCATGCAGGGATCCTCCATGGAAGAAAAAAGAAATCTATTGTAAGCTGGCCAGGCCGGCCGAGACAAGATCTAGCTGCTTGATGTCCAATCTCCTGACAAGGAATGTCCATCTCTATTCGTTCATTGTGAATATGACATCTCTGGAACCACAACTGAGACATACACCGGGCGCATACTGAAATAACGCATTTTCATATTGGCTAGTCCAGAATTGAGCTGCCAGATCACCAATACACAACAGCGGGATTAGGGTACGATTAAACGCTGTCTGGACCCGGATATCTGAGTTTACCCAGACCCTGCTTCATGAGTGAGACATGATCCAGGTGGATACCATTTACGGGACCAACGCCAAGATGTGGCTTGTTTTCTTATCAGGTCATCCTGTCATAGCTTCTTTAAACTTGTCCGCATTTGACTGATCAGCGCCAGATATAGTAGCATGTCCCAGGGTCGGGAT